TCTGCTTCATGTTTTGTCTTCCTCTATTTAAAATGTAAGCTACTTGTGGGCAGGGACCATCTTGTTTGCTTGTATTTATATCCCTGGCACTTAAGTGGTTAATAAACATTTTATGTCTCAAGGAATTTATATTCTTCTCAGAATAAAATATGTTTATGTAGAAAAGTAAATTTAAGATAATTTGAGGAGGAGAAATAATTCACAACAATGGGGGGAACCAGGAAAAGGTTTAAACAGGAAGTGGTCCCAGAACTGAGACTTGAAGAAAGTATTGGATTCAAAGTTTGCATCAGCCCTATATTCAGGCCTCCATTTTTGCCCCAGAGCTTTCTCTGGTTTTCAGACCAGACGTGCCTCGACTTGCTAGTTCCTGCCTCCCATCTTTCCATGGCTGAACAAAGCCCATTCTGTATCCCAGATTACTATTCCATTCCCTCAACTCTACCCCAAAATGTCCCACTCCAGGTTTACCCACTCCTTCCATTGTGCTCCCTGAAATATGGCTGCTCTACAATTTGCAAACTTGTCTTCATCTTAAAATTTTTCTTTTCAATCTCTCCATCTTCTGGCTCTCACTGAGACCTAGCTCCCTCCTAATGACACTGCATCCCTGGGTACCACTTTCTACTACTGGTTACATTTTCATTCATACTCCCTACTAGCTGTGGTCATGGTGGGGAAGTCAGAATACCCCTTCCTCCCTCTATTCTCCCTCTATCACCAATACTCAGTAACTCTTCCTTTGAGGTTCACTCAATCCAGATTTATCATCTACTCAAAATTCTGGTAGCTGTTATCTATTGACCCCAAAGCTACTCTGCTTCCTTCCTCAATGACTTCAGTGACTGGCTCACAGTATTTCTCTCCATCCCAACTCCTGTTCTCACTTTTGGAGACTTCAACATACGTATTGATACTGCCTCAAACAATCTAACTTCCCAGTTTCTCAACTTACTCATTCCCCAACTTATTCCTCCACCCCACCCCCCTTAGCTATACACAGAGATGATCATACCTTTGATCTTGCTATCACCCACAAGTGATCCACTGTTCATGAACTCTGCAGTTTTTGCATATGTCCTCCCTTCTGTGGCTAAACTCTTTGAGAAAGCCATCCCTACTTGTTACATCCACTTTCTCTGCCAGTGATCTCTTAATTTCCAGATCTAATGGCCTTTTATCAATCTTCATTCTCCTTGACCTCTCTGCAGCCTTTGGCACTCACTACAGATAACTGTCTTCTGGACTCCCTCTCCTCTAGGTTTTCATGACACTGCTGGTTCTCCTCCTTCCCAAAGCTGGATCTTCCTCCAGTTCAATCCCACTTACTATGGGTGTACCCACAAGATTCTGTCCTCAGTCCTCATCTCTTTTCCCTCTATATTATCTCATTTGATGACCAAGGAGATTAATTTAGGGGTAGGGGGACATTGTAGTAGTCAAAACAAGAAGTAATCATGACCTGATTTAGGTTAGTAGTTGTATACCATTAGAGACAGCTAGGTGGTGAGAGGGATAGAGTGCTGGACCTAGACTCAGGAAGACTTGACAACTTAAAAAAATACATTTCAAATCCAACTTTGGGCACTTAACTAGCTGTGTCACCCTCAGCAAGTCATTTATGGTCTATTTGTCTGTTTCCTCAACTCAAAATGGGGATAGTAATAGCATTTCCCTCTGAGAGCTGTTGTGAGGATCAAATGAAATAAGATTTGTAAAGCACTTAGCACACTTCCTGGCACATAGTAGGTGCTTAATAAATGTTTGTTTTCTTTCTTCCTTCCTCGTATAAATGGACAGAAGGTGAGAGCAGAAGATGTTGTGAAGGTAGAATAAACATGACTCAGTCAGCAATTGTTAGTGATGTGGGGATGGTGGTGGTGGTGGTGGGGAATAGGAGGTATTTGAGGGGACAATTAAGTACAACTCTGAGGTTTCTAAGCTGTGTGACTGGAAAGATGAAATGAGCAGAAATGAGGAAATCTGGAGAAAAGATGGGTCTGGGGGAAGGATTTCACAAGTTCCATTTTGGAATATTGAGTTTGATATGGCTATGGTACATTTCGGTGGTGAGGTCCAAACAGACGAGTTTGGACTTAGGATAATATGATTTAGAGATAAAATAGACCTTAAAGATCAGCCAGTATCATGCCCTCATTTTACAGAGAGGGGACCTGAGGCCCTGAGAGGTGTGAGTTGACTTATCCTGAATCACAGAGGCAGTAAGTAGAAGAGGTCACAGTCAAAGCTATATATTTGGGGTCTGGATCCAGGCTCACCCCAGACACCCTCCTCCCTTAACCTAGGCAGAGACAGGGGATTTCCTGAGCACTGCTTTGGGAAGTTGCTATCAGGCTCCACGTTGTCATTCTAAGGAAACCCTCTTTTCCTGACACAATCTCCACAAAGAATCCAGGTACCACTCTGTGGTTTAGACTTTACTCCAGAAATGAAACATATTTTGGTGGCTACTGAATAAGCAATCCCCTTTCTGGAGGATCTATATTGCCCTAGTATCTCCTTGGCTTTGTTTTCCAAGTAGACTATTTTGTAGGAACTATGTGAACCCTCTTTTTTCTCCAAAGAGAATGCTGCACCGAGGAAATCTTTCCCCAGACAATTCATTCACTGAACTCTTGTATTCAGAAACTCTCAAATGGGGGTTACCTAATTTGAAGTACCTCTCAAAACTGATGCTGCAAGAAAATCATTCTTCCTCCCCTTGCTATGAGGCTAGATTCTGGGCACCTAGAAAAGACAGCTAAGTGGCACAGTGGATAGAACACCAGGCCTAGAGTCAGGAAGACCCATCTTCCTGAGTGCAAATCTGGCCTCATACTTACTAGCTATGTGACCTGGGCAAGTCACTTAACCCTGTTTGCCTCAGTTTCCTCTTGTATAAAATGAGCTAGAGAAGGAAATGGCAAACTGCTCTGGTATCTTTGCCAAGAAAATCTCAAATGAGGTCACAAAGAGTCGAACATGACTAACAACAAAGAATGCCTACAGCATTCCAAATCCCTTCTCTACATGAGAGACTCAAGTTTCATTACAGTGTCTTTCAACTCTCTTTTTCTGGCTGTATGCGAGTAGCACTGCCATGTGTCACCTATGAGTCACCAATACTGCTGGGGAAGGTTGGGAAGGGAGAAAGACGCTCCCCTCTCCCCCCCTTGGCTTCACTTTGGTCTGGAAGTCCAAGGAAGAGAGAGCCACCAGCCAGCAAAAACAAGAGGATCCAGTTGTTTTACAGCTCACTTTTGGGTTGCATATCATGGGGGAGGTCCCCCAAACCTTCTGTTGCCAAATAATCTTAGAGGTAGCTCCAGTTACTGGGAGCCAAATAGACAATAAATTCCCTTTGTTCTGTCAGCAAGGTGCCAGGGCATATGTCTATCAGCCCAGTGCAATGGTAGATTCTAGTAAACATTTATTGATTGAGTGATTGCTCTACATGAAGGAGTTACCTTCTAACAAAGGTCTACGCGCTGTGATCTCATCAAATTGATTAGCTTCTCCCCTTTCACCCTCCCATCCCCCATTTACATTAAGAAAGTCCCCTCTCCCCCAGAAAATCTCCCCCAAGGCCTGAAATGGCTATTGCCTGAAATGTCAGATTCAGGCATTTGACTTAGGGATCATCCCCTATTTAAATGTGATTACCCCCTGAGAAGGGTGGCATTATGGTGCGGTAGAAAGAGAACTGAATTTAGAGTCAGAAGACCTGATTAGCATTCCTGCTTTGCTATTTATTAGCAGTATTATATTGGGGAATATGTATATTCCCCTTCCCCTCTCTGGGCCTAGTTTTCTTATTGGTAAAATGGAGTCAGTTTCTTTACCTTTCTATCATAGACCCCTTTGATAGTCCGGTGAACTCTATAGACCCCTTTCTCAGAAGGATATTTTATTGCTTACATTTGTAATTGAAAGAAATGCTGAATTTTAGTTATGGTTAGTGAAAATAAAGATCTAGTTTTTTTCCTGTCCAAGTTAATAGATCCCCTGAAATCTCTATGGTCCCCTTTGAGGTTCATGGACCTAAGATTAAGCCTCCCTGAACCAGATGACCTCTAAAATCACCTCCACCTCTAACATTTTGTGATTCCAAAGACACATTTAAAACTTATCAGTTATTGACTTTTTAGTGGGAATGAGTGATCCTTTCCTAAAACAGGTGTTCATAAAGGGAGTAGGTGATAGCATAAAAACTGGGCTACTGAGGTTGCATAGGGACAAAAGTGGAGGTTGTAGGGCACTGAAGACAACCTTCACTTGCCATATAATTTTGTCTGAGGTTAAACCATCTTAGGGATGTTGCTGTATCCCTCCCCCCCCCCCAGCCCAACCCTTTCTCCTTAACCTTGTTTCCTTTGGACCCCAAAGGACCTCTTTCAAGGAATAATTTTTAGCCTTCCTTTTAAGGGTCCTGTAGACCCAAAGGACCTCTTCCCAGGGTTGACTCTTAGCTCTTCCTTTGAACTCTTAGCTTTCTCAGAGAAACAAGATTTAGCCTGGATTATACTGCTCCAGAAGGCAATCAGTCACTTGCCAAGTGGCCAGTGAGAGAACCAGCAATTTCCAAGATGAGGCCAGAAAGATGGACAGCAGCAATTGCTCAAAACCTAAGATGGTTCCTTTCCTTCCTATCTTCTATCTATAGCTTCCCACCCCCAGCTGACATCATGCAGGACATAACAGCCCTTAGAATCTGTACCCTTATAGGTGCTACCATTCCAAGAACTCTGCCTACTGTCATACCATCATGGGCATGTTTTTCCTACTGGGCTGAGACTGTTATATTTGCTTCCTGAAAGTCCTATTTGGCATTGCCTGACATTGTCAAAGTTCAGGCAAGACATTTCACCCCGATGATAACTTCTCACTGAATCTGGTACTCTGCATGGCTAGCCAGCCTCAGGGGGTAGGTACTTCTCTGGGTCCCCACATCTGACCAGGCCACACCAACCACTTTCTTTCTCTTTTGTGTTGTGTTGCAGATTGAAATGCTAGAACACAAATACGGAGGCCACTTGGTGTCCCGGCGAGCAGCTTGCACCATTCAGACAGCCTTCCGCCAATATCAGCTTAGCAAGAACTTCGAGAAGATACGCAACTCGCTGCTTGAGAGCCGACTCCCTCGGCGTATCTCCCTGCGCAAAGTGCGGGTCCCCAATCCAGAGACTTTTGCAGCAGAGAAGGCTCTGATGGAGGGCTACGGGCTGATGGGGCTGCCCCTGGTCCGCTCTCCATCCCTGCCGGCCACCATCACAGGCACACTCACGGAGCTTGAGGACTCCTTCACGGAGCAAGTCCAATCCCTGGCTAAGTCCATAGATGATGCTCTCAGCACCTGGAGTCTCAAGACTATGTGCTCCCTCCAGGAAGGGGGCTCCTACGAGATCCACGAGACCTTCCGTGCTGGAGGGATGGGGCCCCCGGGTCTGGAGACAGAACTGAAGGAGGAGGAAGCCGCAGAACTGAGCCTGGAGGAGGAGGAAGAGAGCAGTGGGTCAGGGGCTGGGCTGCCCAAAAGCAGAAGCACCCTCATGATGGCTTTCCGGGATGTCACAGTGCAGATTGCCAGTAAGAACATCTCTGTCTCCTCCTCCACAGCTGTTTCCGTGGCCAACTGCCTGGGAGGACAAGAGACTCAGGTTGGACTGGTCCCAGCAGCAAGCAAAGCAGAGGCAGAGGAGGCAGGGGGAGCCCAGGCTTTGGCCTCCCCTGTTGTGACTTCATCTGCTTCAACCGCTGGTCATACATGGACCGAAGTTGGGGCTGGCAGGGACATAAATACAAATGGGCAGGCAGCTGAGGGGGTGATGGGTGAGGAAGAGGAGGAAGAAGAGGAGGTAGGGAGGTCGATCAAAGGGGGGGAGATGGAGACTGGTGACAACTCAGAGCAACTGAGCAGCAGCAGCACCTCTACAAAATCTGCCAAGTCAAGCTCAGAGGTGTCAGCCTCAAAGGAGGCCCTGCAGGCTATGATACTGAGTCTGCCCAGATACCATTGTGAGAACCCAGCCAGCTGCAAATCCCCCACACTCTCCACTGACACCCTTCGAAAGAGGCTCTACCGCATCGGCCTCAACCTCTTCAACATGTGAGTCGTGGGGCCCTCTGCCTTCTTCCTTGCCCCCTTGCCAGGACCTGCCTAGCCCCTGGACTTTTCCTCCCCAGCTTAGATTGGGGCAGGGGAAGTAAGTAGGAGTGAGGGCTAGGAGCATAGAGTACAAAGGAGAAGAAAGAAGATATGGGGAGGGGCAGCTAGGTGGCGCGGTGAATAGAGCAACAGCCCTCAGGTCAGGAGGACTTGAATTCAAATCCGGCCTCAGACCAAACACTTGACACTTACTAGCTGTGTGACCCTGGGCAAGTCATTTAACCCCAATTGCCTGAAAAATAAAGATATAGGGAAAGAAAGCAAGGTATAGTGGAAAGGACACTACACTAGAAATCAAAGAACTGAGTTCAAGTTCTGGCACAGGCAAACTGTGTGATGATGGACCAGTCCCTTCACTTATATAGGACCTCTGTTTCCTTATGATGCTATAGCTCCTTCTAGCTTTAAAAGTTCATAATTATTTGAGAGGGAAGAATAGGAAGATGAGATAGTAGAGGAAGCGAGATGGAAGTGCTAGAAGAGAGATGGAGATGGGGGAAAGGGGGTGAAAATGATTACAAGTGACTAACGATGAAGCATGCTACCCACTTTATTTTTTTTGTTTGTTTTTTTGGCAATTGGGGTTAAGTGACTTGCCCAGGGTCACACAGCTAGTAAGTGTCAAGTGTTTGGTCTGAGGCCAGATTTGAACTCAGGTCCTCCTGACTTGAGGGCCGGTGCTCCATCCACTGTGCCACCTAGCTGTCCCCATGCTACCCACTTTAGATAAAGGTATGATACACTCAAGTTGCAGGAAAAAAAAATTTTTGTAAAGAAATTTTACAGAATTTGTTTTGATTGAATCTGCAGATTTGTTACAAAGGTTTTGATTTTTTTTTATTTTCTTTTTTTCTCAATGCAGGAGAGGGGAATTGGGAAGGAGGTAGGGGTTGGTTTAACAAAAACAAAAAAGAAAGAAAAGAGGGTCATAGAAATATATTTTCTAAATGTATAGAAGAGAAAAGAAGGAAGGCCAAGGAATCACAGATAAGTAGGATAGTTTTGAAAGTAATATGTTGAATTTTAATATATATTTTAAAGAAAAACTACTTGCATGTAATAGAGATTCATAGTTTCATGTATAAACTTTTCTTTCTGTTCTACCATGTATATGGAAGTACTTTTATCTGGTAGTTGTTAAGTTCTGAATTTTTTAAATGGGGGGAAAAGAGAGAAAAGTGAGGTGAGACATTTGGCATAGAAAGGAGAGACAGGATGAGTAAGATGACGTACAGGATGTGTGTTGGTGAGGAGGAATACAAGAAAGGAGTGAGAAATGGACTAAGGTGTGGGGGTGAGGAAATGGAAGAACATGAGTGGAAGAGAACGGGAATGGGGGGGGACATAGGGGAACAAATGTGCACAAATCTATTCCCTGGCCGGGAACATGCTAGAGTGGACAGCCACCATAATGCATGCATTTAGCTAATCAGAAAGCTTCACTTTCAAAGAGGTGGTAAATCACTTGGCTTTCCATTGTCAGGCATGACAAATGTGTTGATTTGTATTAATTACTTCTTTTTATAAGAGAATTATTTGGAAGGGTGGGGAGGGGAGTGGGCAGGGAGAGAGAATGAAATGATAGCAATGTTTTGGTGTTTTTTAAGCATCCACAAAACATTTATATGTATATTTTAAAAGTGGAACTGGAACCCAGAGGAAAGTTGAGTCTATCAGCAAGCACTTATTAAGCACTACTATGTACAAGCACCGTGCTAAGCACTGGGGATATAACAAAGGCAAAAACAGAGACTGCACTCAAGGAGCTTAATTTCTAATGGGGTAAAATAGCATGAAAATGATGAAGAAAACTGAGAAGCAGAAGTAAAGAAGGAGTGCATTTCAGGACAACTTGTGTGTGCCAAGAGACAGGGTACCAGGTGGGAGGAATAGCAAACAGATCAATTAGGGGGATCATAAAGGGAAACATAGGAGAAGACCAGGTTACGATGGGCTTTAAATGCCAAAGAGAGGATTTTATATTTTATCCTGGAAGTCGTAGTGAGTCCCTGGAGTTTACTGAAGAGGCCAGACCATTCTTAATCTGACAAGTTATTTTGCTTGTGCTTCTTTTAAAAAACAAAACAAAATAAAACCCCCTTTTCATTGAAACATAAAACTCTGTGGCCAGATATCTCCTCTTATACACAAAATCAGACACCTGTGCTAATCCTGGGCCCAGCCTCACACATATTTCTCTTCTCTCTGCTTCTCCCACACAGAATGATAGAAGCCTGATTTTGGACAACTTTCTAACAGGACCTCAGTTTCCTCATCTTCAATATAAAGGGATTGAAGTAGGTCTTAAAGGGTTAGATGGTAGAAGTCAAAGTAGCCAAGGTAGATGACTACCTCCTCCTCTTACCTTATTTTCCCTGCTGGGCTACCTTCTCTCTCTACCAAACTACCCTCTCTCCCAGTTTCCCCTTATTACAAGTCCTAGGAATAGCTGAGGAGGTAATTGCCTATTGAGATATAGGATCAGGAGAGATAGAAGTTGAGAGAGGAGGGAGGGGGTGCTGGTCAGAAGTGCTGAGGAAGAAGGAAGATCCTTTTAGAAACCTGCCCAGTTTCTGGAACGTTGTACAGGTTTTCTGATTGCTTTGTGGGAAGAGAGACAGGGAGATGACCCATACGTTTTTTCCATTTCTGTTTCCAAATTAAAATACTGAAGTCCAGAAAGGGGAGCAGAGATTGGTTTCAAAGCGAGTTAGCAAGAGGAGGTAACCCCATCTCTAGCTCTTACCCTATTCCTTTCTCCACAAACATTTTGTAACAAATATTCATAGTCAAGCAAAACAAATTCCCAAATCTAACTGTGTCTGAAAATATATCTCATTCTGCAATTTGAATCCATCATCTCTCTATCTGGAACTGAGTAGCATGCTTCACTGAATCATTGGGAGTCAAACTCAAGAAGCCTTATGCCTGTCCCTAGCCTGGCAGCTCCACTTCGTTGCCTCTCTTAGTGGAGTTGGAATCCCCTTTCCTCAATTCCTACTCCAGCATATATGGCCTTACAGTTTGGCTGAAAGAGAAATGTATCTTAAAGAGAAGGTTTTTTGGTGGGAGGAATGGTGTTTGAGGAGTTAGGTGAGAGAGGGAGGAGAGGTATAGAATATCAAGTTTTCTCAGAGATAGTAAAACAAGAGGAAGAAGCTGGTAGTCAGAGATGGTTGGGGTAATGAAGAATGGGCTCTGAATATTGAAGGGGAGTTTGTAGTAACCAGAAGGGGGCCCTGGCTATGAATGGGAAAGGGTGGGGGTGGCGGTGGGGTCACCAGGGCCAGAAGAATTTCATCCTAGAGTACTAAAAGAACTGGCAGATGGGATTGTTGAGCTGGGATCACCGCTGTTAGTGATCTTTGAAAGACTGGAGAATAGGAGAGGTGCAGAAGGCCAAATGTTACCTAACTTGAAAAAAAGGAGGGGGGGTGGTAAGCAAGTAGAGTCTGCAAACTACAGACTAATAAGCTTAACTTTAATTCCCTACAAATTCTCCAATGTATTCTTAATGGGATGTTAGGGAACATCCATAAAAAGAGGTAATGATCACAAAGCATAACTTCATCAAGAACAAGTCATCAATTATCATGCATTTATTAAGCACCAGCCATATACAAGGCATTGCATTAATAACTGGCATGCTAAATCCTGCCACACTAACCTCATTTCCTTTTTTAGACAGGGTTGCTAGATTTTTTCCTTTCCAACTCTTAAATTCTGTGATTTTGGGTAGGTTAGGGAAATACTATGGATTATCACTTTCTTTGATTTTAGTAAACTTTTGAAGTAATCGCTGATGCTATTTTTGTGGACAAGATGGAGAAATGAGTACAGGAGTGGAACCAGCTTTCAAGAGCTAATTGTTAAAATTTCAGTTTGAGCATTTACATAGGAAATTGGCAAATGCCACTACATGTTAGGGCTTGGTTTATTGTTTTATAGATTGCCTAGACTTTAAAAAGTAGTGGAGAAAATGTTAACAATGTACATTAAACTTAAAAATATGTCAGGGGCACTTTTTTCTGGAAAGCTGATTGTTAAACATTTACTGGCATACTCCTGGATGAGATCCAGACAATAGTATAGGTTCCATTTCAACTTGGAAGAAGATCTCTGGGACAGTACCCTAGGGACCTGTCTTTGACATTGTGCTGTTTAGTATTGTTGTCAATTACCTGACTAAAGTCAGTACATTGATGGCAAGGTTTGCAGGTGACATGGAGCTAAAATGGATAGCTTAACACATCGAATGTCTATCAGTTCCAAAGATAACTTTACAGATTAGAACATTGGGTCAAATCTAATATATTAAGTTTATAGTCACAAAAGCTAACGTGATCATGGACTACATTCAGAGAGACTGGAAGTAGAGGAAGTTCTTGTTTTGATAGGAGTTGGACAGAATGTCCTCTGAGATCAGATAGGAGAGAGCTTGTTGGATTTGGAAAGGACTGAAGATAGGTGGAGGACAGGTAACACTCTAGCTTACTGTTCCCCTGATCCCCTTCTCTATTTCCAGAAACCCAGACAAGGGCATCCAGTTCCTGATCTCCCGAGGCTTCATCCCCGACACTCCCATCGGTGTGGCTCATTTCCTCCTGCAGCGAAAGGGACTTAGCAGACAAATGATTGGAGAATTCCTGGGAAACAGCAAGAAGCAGTTCAACCGGGATGTGCTAGAGTGAGTGACTTACTTCATTACCCCTCATTAGACAGCTCAGCACCTCTGTTGTTGCTCTCCTCTGTTCTCCTCAATCACTTCCTTTTCCTTGTTCCCTTCCTCTCTCTGGTTTCTTTCTACCCTCCCTTTCTCCTTTTCCACAGACAGAGACAGTGGAAACAGTGGGGAATTTAGGTCAAAGTACCTGTTCTATAATTCTAGTTTTGCTGTTTAAGACCTGTATGACCTTGAATAAGACACTTAAACTCTCTGGGCCTCAGTTTCCTCATCTGTGATATGAGGGAATTGAACTAGATTCGGTTTATGATCCTATGATCTTCATGAAACTGAGGTCAAACATGGGAATACCTCAGTAGTAGTACCATGTCAGGAAAGAAGATGCTATGGGCAGACAATCCAGAATGAGAATCTTAGAGCTTTTTAATTTTTTTTTAACTTCCTAAAAGCCCAGTTCCTAGATACCTAAATAGCCTTAGGCAACTCTGTCATTCAATTTCTCTTTGTGTAAAATGGAGAGGATAATAAACACTCTGCTCCACCAACCCCTAAGGATAAAATGATAGGATCATAGACTTAAAGTTAGAGGCATCAAAGTTTTCACCTCTGACATGAAACAAAAGAAAAGGAGGCTGAATAATACAGTGGAAAGAGTTAGGAGGGCTGACTTCACTTTACATGCCCTAGGCAAGTCACTTCCACCTTTCTTGGTCTCACCTTTTTTATCTGTAAAAAGCAAGTGGGTAAGACTAAAAGATGTCCAAGCTCCCTTCTAACTCTTCAGTTTATGGACATACGGGAAAGGACTTTGGCGGGGAATAGGGACTCTTACATACCAAGGTTTCTTATAAACAGTTTTCAATTCTTCATGAGTAGATTCTTTATTCCTTGCCTTCTAGCTACCCTTCAGCTCACCATCAGTCAGTTTTGAGTCAGAACATAAAAACTGATTTTTATGTCAGCCAAAGCAAAGCATAATGGAGAAAAATGAGGACTAGATGACCTTTGAAGTCCTTTCTAGCTCTAATCCAATGGTGTTAAATCTTCCAACTACAAAGAATGTCATAAAATACATTCCAAAGTCAAATTTTTTAAAAAATAATAATAATGCCTGAGGGTCCAGTGCTCCCCTCTGATGACCATTGGAATGAATAATAGGATTTAGAATACTGTGGTATTTATCAAACACACACTCTCCCTTTCTGGTGGAGTGCAGTGGAAGAAAGTTTGGAAGAATGGAGACATTGTAAATATTCATCTTCGAATCTAATCTCAGACAGCCAGACTGGAAGTCCATACTAACTCTAGAGAATCTGGTGGTTAGAGGAGCCACTCCCAATAGGCTGAGTGGAGCTGAAATATTAGGGGCAATCTCAGGTTAAGGTAAGGAGAGAATCGGATGTAATCTGTCCACGGAGACCTTTCTTAGTTCTTCCAAATTATGTCTGGTCTTCACTCTCTTCTGGTTTTTTCATGAGTCACCTCTTTGCCATTCTTTCAGGCTCTTTCTTCTCTAGGTCACACTAAGTCTAGCCAGAAGTTAGCAGGACCATTTTCCTAATGGTCTTTGGAAGAATTCATATCTTTTATATTCTCATCATGCCCTGCCTGGTACATCTTTTTAGATTTCCATTTCTCTATCTGGCACCAATCTCTATTGAAATGCCCTATGATGCTTTATCTATAAAACACTGAGTGTCTTGGGGAAGACCAGACAGAGAAGTACCTTGTGTTTCTTTTTCTCCCTCCTTTCTTCTTCTCCCATTAATTCTCTTTTTCTTCAGTCCATGGCATTTATTGAAAGCTTTCACAGTGTGGAGCTCTATAGAAAGTGCTATGGGGACATTAAAAAAGGCATTAAATGATTACAAACTTCCTCTTTCCCCCCTTATTCTCTAACCTTTTATTTCCCTCTTGTTCCTTTCTGTCTTCTTCCTTTCTTCTATTTTTCTCTCCTTTCATTCTCCTGAGAGGAAAACCCAGGAGGAATAGGTAATAAAATGTATCACTCTCCAACCTTTTTTTCCTTTCTTTCTCTTCCCTAATATGACATCTTTGTGGTCTCTTGGTCTATTTCTGTCCCATTTACCCTTGCCTTTGACAGTTATGCTTGTCTTCTCCTCAGTTCTTTACCTATTTAGCATGTTGCCACTCCCACCCTCCATGCCCCACTGTGTTCCTTAGACTGTCTATCTCTCTTGGGTTTGGGTTTCTTTTTTTTCTGTATGTTTTTCTTTTTCTTTTTTTTTTAAATCATATCCCAAATGGCTTAAATCCTACTTTTCTAACATACCCATTACATACTGATTTGGTGCTTGGTGGAACACATGTTTTGGTTTTTAATGTTTTTTCCTCCAGCCTTAATCCTACTGAGTAGCATAATGAAAACTAATTGCCTCCTTGGGCGGCTGTTTGTATGGGCTAGAGACTCAGACAGCTAACTTCATCTCAGCCTAAGTCTTCTGCTGGTGAAGGTAGGCTGTTGTACAGCCATGGCAAGGGGCCAGCCAGAGAGCCAGAAAAGGTTGGAGTGGGGAGTCAAATTCCTGTATCAGAGCCCCTCTTTTAGAATTCTCATACCTCAAAGAGGTAGAGCAGTGTCATGAGAAGAGTACCAGGTTTTGGGGAAACTCACGTTCTTAGTAGAGCTTTGCTACTTCACAAAATCACAGAATCTCAGAGTTAGAAATCTCCCCCACTCCAGACCTCAGCAGGAATCCCCTGAAAATACCCCTGATGGAAGAAATTAGCCACTCCTTAACTCCATTATTCCAGTCATGCTCCATAGCCTTCTGGATATCTCTCCCTGGATAGCTTGTAAGCATCCTCAAACTCAACATATACAAAATAGACTCATTAACTTTTCTCCTTCATCTGCCCTACCTCCAAATTTCCCTGTTTCTGCTGAGGGCACCATCATCCTCCCAGTGATCTAGGTTAATAACCCTGGAGTCCTCCCTGGCTCTTTCCTTTCCTTCACCCTTCATATAGCATCAGTTGCCAAGACTTGTCAAGTCTACCTCTACAGTATCTTTCATCAATTCCCTTCTCTCCACTCACAAAGCCAACACCCTAATTCAGACTCTCATCTCCTCATATTAAGTTGTGGGCATTCACCATTCATCTTAACTTTTGTCCTGCTACTGGACTTTGCTGACTGTTGTTGTCAGTTGTTTCAGTCCTATCTGACTCTTTTGATCCCATTTGTGGTTTTCTTGGCCAAGATACTGTAGTGGTTTGCCATTTCTTTCTCCAGCTCATTTTACAGATGAGGGAAGAAACTGAGGCAAACAGAGTTAAGTGACTTGCCCAAGGTCATACAGCTAGTAAGTATCTGAGGGCAGATTTGAAATCAGGAAGATGAGTCTTCCTGACTCCAGGCCTGGCACTCTATCCATTGCACCACCTACCTGCCCTCATATCAAAGCTACCTTCATGATACCTTCGTGATACCTTCATGAGTAGCTTTCCTAGCTCTCAGTTTCTCCATTCCCCAATCTATCTTCCACTTCGCTGTCAAAATCATCTTTTTAAACTACTGGTCTAAACATGTTGTTCTCCTCTTCAAAAGTCTATAAACTACTTAGTTTGGAGTTTAAGGGCTCCTCAATCTGGCTCCCACCTATCTTTCTAGCCTTATTTCATGTTATTTTCCCCTCATAACCTCTCTAGTCCAGCCATACTGGATGAAAACATTCCATTTGGAGCTAGAGGATCTGAATTCAAATATTGGCTTTGCCTCTTACTACCTATATGACCTTGGGCAAGTCACTCTGAGCCTCAATTTCCTTATCTTTCAAATAAAAGATAAAAGATTTTGACTATAGAGGTTGTAATGTTTCTTCTTCCTGAGACTCATCTTCCTCAGTTCAAATCTGGCCTCAGGTACTTACTAGCTGTGTGACCCTGGACAAGTCACTTAACCCTGTTTGCCTTAGTTTCCTCATATGTAAAATAAGCTAGAGAAGGAAATGGCTAACCACTCTGATATCTTTGCCAAGAAAACCCCAAACTGGGTCACAAAGAGTCAGACAAGACTGAAATGACTCAACAAGAAGTATGTTTCTTCTAGCTTTAAATCTATGATCCTATGGTCTCCACTGACGGCAAACTCACTTCTTCCCAAGGCAGTCCATTCCACTAATAGCTGGCTTTGATTATTAGGAGGGTTCTCTTTATGTGAAAATTAAGTCTTCTTTTCTACAACTGCCATCTCTCGTTCCTTGTTTTGTCCTCTACAGTCAAGCATAGGAGGTCTCATTCCCCTTACACCTAACAGTTCTTCATATATTTTAAGACAACCATCATTTCCCTGCTAATGCTTCTTTTCTTTAAATGAAATCTCCTCAGTTCCTTCAATTTGTTTTCATATGACAATGGTTTTGAGTATCCCCATCTTGGTTACTCTCTTTTAGACACTCTCTAGTTTGCCAATGTTGTCTTATAAGGGTAGAACCCAGAAGTGAATAAAATACCTCTGATATGGCCAGACTAGCACATAGTATAATAATTCTATGATCCTTCATTCTGGAGTCTAGTTTTCTCTTAATGCATTAGCTTTGGGGACTGCCATATTGCATTGTGGGTTCACACTGAGCTGGCAGTCCATTAAAACCTTGAGATCTTTTTTAGATGAATTACTACATAGCTAGACCTCCCCGACTCTGTACTTGTGCAGCTGTTTTTGTTTGTTTATCCCAAGTATAGGATTTTTCATCCCTCTCTGTAAAATTATACCTCATTAGATGTGGCTCATTCTATTCTGTTCAGATTTTTTGGATCCTGATTGTCATCCAATGCATTCACTATCCTTTCTAACTTTGTGTCATATGTAGACAATTTGATATGAAATGTCTTCTATGTCTTCATTTATATTGCTACCCAAATTGTTGAACAACAGATCCCTGAGATACTCCACTAGTGACTCCAAGTTGACATCAAATGTTTAATGACTAAACTTTGGGTCTAGTCAGTCAGCCACTGTCAAAACCACTTAAATTTCC